TTCTCCTCACTGAAAATGTAAGTTATTGAATCAGGGTCATTTTCTTCTGTCAGATCAGTGTGATTCTGTGTTGCTGAATGCATTTGGAAAGCATTACAAAGATGATATATTGCTTCTGTGTGAATGCTTGTCTGTGTGCACGCATGTGCAGAAGAGTGTGAGGGACAAGTGCTCAATGTAATCAATAAGCAATTAAAGTCACTTTTATTTTGTGCTCATAAAGAAAGATGCTTGTGGATTCTGCTTCAGCTTTCATGATAGGTGCAGATAACACAATAGTCCTGTGCTTTTTACTACATTCCTTCCCTTTGTTAGGCACATAGCTTGCAGTATCTACTGAACAATTAATAATATTTTGACATGCTTCCACCTCCTTATTCATCAGTACATAAGTTTCATTAGAGCAAGGACTTACCTGGCACTGTAATAAAATTTAGAATGTCTAAAGTACGTGCTCAATAAATATTTATTAAATTTATGAATATAGTAGGACTATTCACTTTATTGTAATGTGTAGGTATGTAATGTTTTCTAACTAAAGGTTTTGTTGAGTTCTGCCTAATACTATGAGAAACATTTTCCTCATTCAGGTATTATGTTAATCAGCAGGACATTTGTGGCAAAAGTAATTTCTTTAATATTAGTTTTATTATAATCAATCTAAAGATAGGCTCATGAACATGTCATAATGCAAAATGCATTTAGTCCAACTTTAAAAGGTGCCATAGTCTTTCACAGTCTCAACATTATTAAAAGGTCCAGAGTTCTAAGACTTTTCTGCAGCTCAAAGCAATCCCTTAACAGTAAGCCCTTGTAAAATCAAAAATAAAATTACATGCTTCCAATATACAGTGACACAGAATAAATATTCACATTCCAAAAGAGAGGAATAGAAGCATATTCAAGACATATTGGACCAAAACAAGACCAAAAACCAGAAAAACAAACACCAAATTCTATGGTTCCATGTCCACTGTCTGGAACTTTAATTCCAAGGGGCTTAGGTGGCTCTGCCCTCCAGCTTTGCTGCCTGCAACATGCATCTCTTTCTTATGCCAGCACCCTAGTATACAACTCTCCTTGTCTCAAGGCTCAGGCATCTCCAACGTCTTGAGGGTCTCCATTGTCAACTTCAGCTTCACAACTTCACACAATGGCCTCTCAAAGCCTCTTGGCTTCCCAGGCTTCTTTACATGAATAATCCGCTGCCGCAGGCTTCCTGGTCTCAGTGGCTTTCCCAACCACAGAGGAAGAACCATTGACCCCTTCACTCTTGCAGATTTCGTGTTTTTAAATCTAGTACCACATGAAGGACACTGCTAAGTTCAGCCCCTAGCATGGCCATGGACCTTGGCCCTCTTCCACATTACCAGTAGCTGCTTTTTATGTGTTGTAGCTTTCTTAGAGCAGAAAACCTTTTAGTACTTTTTCCTTTCACACATTGAAACAGAGCTGGATGGACTCTTGCCCTGAGGGTACTTTTTGAATTATTCAAGTGCAAATTTAGAGGTCTCTCCTTAATGTCTTCCCAGCTCCTTATCAAAGAGTGATTCTCTTTCAGTAATGCCTTGGCTGCCTTGATTCCAGCTTGGCTCCAAGCTTCCTATGTTCTTTTTCAATCCAAACTCTACCTTTTGTATTTCTTTATTCCCCACTTGTTTCTTTTCACTGTAGATCTGTGTAATAGTCACCATTAATAAAACATATCACCAGTTCAACATTAGGCTGCTTTGAAATTTTCTCCACCAAAGAATTAATCCATTACCTTTTAATTTAGCTTCAGGCAATTTCTTAGTTCTCAGGCAGATGGCAGTCAGAATCCTTGCTAAAATTTCCTAGTTTCTGTTTAGGCCTTCGTTTCCATCTCCCTCTGGAGCATCTTGAGCTGGGCCTCTACTAGAAGGACACCTTAAGCTCTGTTTACAGCTTTCTACTGCTTTTCTGTCCAAACTCCCAAAGTCTTCTACGTCCTCCAAATATCATGATCATGTTATTCACAGTAACACTCCACACTTGGTACCTATTTCGGTATCATTTACCTTTTTTTTTTTTTTTTTTTGCTGTACTAAACCATGACCAAGGCAACTCACAGAAGAAAGAGCTTATTGCATGTATGGTTCCAGAGGGCTAAGAGTCCATCAAGACAGGAAAATATTGCAGGAACAGAAAAATGAGTGCTCACGTCCTCAAGAAGGCACAGGAAGCAAAGAAAGACGCTGGAGATGGGATGTGGCTGTGAACTCTCAAAGCCTTCCCCCCACTAAGGGGCTTCCTCCAGCAAGAGTATACCTCCTAAACCTCCTCAAACAACGCCACTGACTGACCAAATGTTCAAATACTTAAGCCTACTTGGGATACCTCATTCAAACTACCACAATGCTCAATAAAAATAATATTGATGGAAGTTTGTTTTTTATAAGGTCAGATTGGTAGCACAGTTATAATTTCATATTATTTATAAAAATATGTTATAATTTTAGTAATATGTTTAATATTTAGTACATATTTTTTTAATCATTGCACATAGCTAATTGAAAGCACTATCAGTGAATCAAATTGTGTCTTCTATGAACAAAGCTTTGTACAGTATCCCTCTTTCATTATTACATGCATGCCTTCCTTTACCTGACAAACACTAGTATCAACTTTGGTTTAGTATCATTGTTCCCTGACTCTGGAAAGTAGTGTAATTCTACTTCATCTGACCACCAAGTATGTTTCTTTAGTGGAGGTCAATCCATTTTTTAAGATACCATCTTAGTGCTGTTATGTTACCAAGCAAATATTGACAAAATGATTTATTCTTATTTATCAGGCAAGACAATAGAAGTATAGACAGGGCAGGTCAATTACATAAGGCTTTATTTTATAAATCATTTTTATGTGGGTGAGAACAAAGTTTCTAGCTCACCATCTAGTACTCACAGGATTGATGGATGCTTAAGATATTTTGAAGACATGAGTCAAGACTGTTCACCTCACTTTATTAGAAAGAATAAAGTTGTCAAATCATTTCTGACAGCTTTAAAATCGGAGACAACCTATGTTCACATGTTGAAACTGGCAGCTTTGTATCCTATTTGAATTTGTTAACCCATGCAGAGAAGTAATGGATATACATAGAAACTGAATTCTCTGGGATAGCTGTGATTATCACAATGAATTTCTAGATGTAGCATGATACTTAAAGTCAGAAAATGAAAATATTATAGTGCTACATAAGACCCAAAGAGTGATTTTATTCTTTGAAAGGAAGAAATGTAATTACATCAGAGAACACTAAGAATGACCATTTAGGGGCTTGAGAGATGGCTCAGCAGTTAAGCACACTGGCTGCTCTTGCAGAGTACCAGGGTTCAATTTCCAGCACCAACATGGTGGCTAACACTCATTGGTAACTCCAGCTCCAGAGGAGTCTGATGCCCTCTTCTGACCCCCACGTTCATTGCATGACACAGGTGCACCTACCTACATGCAGACATTACAATCATACAATAAAATAAAAATAATAATTTTTTAAAAAGCCGAATGTTTAAAAGTTACTGTCTTATCAAAGATCCATTCAAAAAATATTTAATCTGAACTACTTGCCAACTGTGTTCTATCTCATATTGATCATCTGGTTGTTTTTTTTTT